AAAAACACAAATAAACATTATTCAATCTACTTTCAATAAAATAAATTAAAAGATAAATTAAAATAGAAAATATTTCATTACAAATAAAATAAATGAAATATAAAATAGAAATAACACAGAAATATGAAATAAAGATAATTTCATCATTCTCTGAGTTAATTATAAGAAGTTGAATAATGATGAGATGAAGAATAATGATGATGTATTGAAGAACATAAGAGATAAATAAAATCAAATCATTGAATATCAAAAAAGTGGAATTGAAAATTATGAGATAGAAGAAAAAATAAAAGAAGATTAAACAATACACAAAGAGAAAATGAAGAAAAAATCAATTAATATCAAAATATCAACAATTTATTGTTTATTTTTTATTTCAGAAATAAAGAAGAAGAAAACAATAACATTAATGATAAATACACAACAAATAATGACAACAACATCATGGATAATACAAATGAACAAAACTACCATTATGAAAAAGACAGTACTAGAAATAAAAGAACAAAACACTAGATAGCAAAAACAAGAAATATAATCAATCAATAATAAAATAAAACACAATAAATCAAACAAATATAAATTTAATTGATATATTGTATTGATTTGCAATTATTTATTAAATAATAAATTAAATAAGAAAATAAGAAATAAACAAATAGAAAATATAATAAAAATGATAAATATTAATGTAAATAATGATAAGGAATACATTAATAATATTAAATTATCATATAAAATGAAAATGAACTCAATCATAGAATATAAAATAGAGTATACCTCAATAATAAAAAACATCAATATAAAAAATAACTCTATTGATATTGATGATGAATATCTTAATATTATCATTAATCAAATAAAATAAATGAAAATAAATCAAATCATAATTTAGAATGAAAGATACAGAAATTATGATAATCCCATCATCACATTGGATGATTTAAATTTAATTATAATGAAAATAAATAACAGGAAATCACCAAGCATTGACATTATATATTTGTGTTATTGGAAAAGAATGTCATTACAATAAATTAAATAGGTATGAATAAATAAAAAGAATAAAAGACTATAATATCAAATGAGGGTATTTGAAGAAAAGAAATATGTATAAAGAAATAAAAAATAAGTTAATTAAAATAGAGAAATTAAAAGATGTTAAAATAATTGCAGTAGTAATCTCTATAAATTAATTAATAAATATTGAAAATATTAAATTAATTAAAGAATTAAAAATTGAAATTGATAAGATAAAAGAAATTAAAAACTACGTAATTAAAACTATGACTATGTCATTGAATATTGTTTCTACAACAACCAAACATACATTGTTGAATTACTTAATGAAGAATCAAAAATGGAATTAATCCACCCTGAGTTATGAATAATAAAAACAAATTCTATTATTACTTAATTATTTGCTTTTTATTATTAGTTTATATTAATAGTTCAAAAGAAAAAAGAAAAAAAAAGAAAAAAGAAAAAGAACTAATAAAAAAAAGAATGAAGATAGTTGTATTAGATGCAAAGACATTAGGAGATACACCATTTGATAAACTTCAGAAATATGGAGAAGTGAAAATATATGAAAGAACAGAAAAAGAAGAAAGGAAAGAAAGAATTAAAGAAGCAAACATTATATTAACAAACAAAGTGATAATTGATAGAGAAGTAATGGAAGGGAATGAAAATATTAAACTAATAGGAGTATTGGCAACAGGATATAATAACGTTGATATAGAATATTGTAAAGAACATAAAATAGGAGTGGTGAATGTTGCAGGATATTCAACAGAAAGTGTAACACAAATATGCATAGGACTATTAATGGAACTAACTAACAAAATATCAAAATTTGATCAATATGTAAAAACTGGGAAGTATAGTTCATCAGGAATATTTACATGTGTTGGAGGTGAGTATGATATTCATGAAATATCAAATAAGAAATGGTGTATTGTTGGACTTGGAAGTATTGGGAAAAATGTAGCAAAAATTGGGAAAGGGTTAGGAGCAAAAGTATATTATTATAGTACAACAGGAAAGCATGAAGACCAAGAAATAGAAAGAATTTCATTTGAAGAAATGATTAAAACAAGTGACATCATTAGTATTCATTGTCCACTTACTGATAAAACAAAAGGACTTTTTAATTATAAAGTATTTCAAGAAATGAAAAAAAGTGTAATTATCATTAATATGGCACGTGGACCAATTGTTGTAAATGATGATATTGCAAAAGCACTTCAAGAAAATTTAATTGGAGGATATGGAACTGATGTTTTTGATGAAGAACCAATTAAGGCATCAAATAAATTATTAGAAGTAAGAAGTGAAAAGATTGTATTTAGTCCACACATTGGATGGGCAACAATGAAGCAA